CCAAATAGACGGTTTCAGTTCAGTTTATGTAACATAACTGTTAATGCAACGCACACTTAGTGCGCGTGCGAGTGCGTGCCTGCGCTTGTTCCAGACATCACCTTGTGCTCTGTTCCCCGACTCTCTTCGGGGCGTCACGTAGGAAGACTTGCACTTCCTTCTCCACCTCAACGTCAAGTGGTTTTTGGCTCTGCCATGTTCTTGGCCGCGCTCGCCGTCGGCGTGCTGTCCGCCTCCACCCGCATGATCTCGTGCTCCCGGAACCACATTGTTGACCCCTTTTGCAGCGCGCCATCTTGAGATTGAACACATAGTGAGCGACGCCGTGAAAGTACCCAACGTCGGAGTCCATCAGTCATAGAGACACTTTGTGTGTGACCTTCAAAATATGCCTTAAACCACGGAGTCATAGAGACACTTTGTGTGTGACCTTCAATAAAGGCCTTAAACCACGGAGTCTCGACGCCGTGCAATGTGAGTTTGTCAAGTAGGAGTTTGTGATCGATAACGTTGAAGCATTTGCTAAGATCGATGAGGCACAGGAACTATATTTCTCCGCTGTCCGTGGCAGTTTGGTTGTGGTCAGTAACGGGCAGAATGCGGTCTCGGTGGAGTGCCGGGGTCAGAAGCCGTGCTGGCTAGATGCCATAGGATGATTTTCATTAAGCCAGTAGATGCTTGTAGTCTAAACAATGAGTATATAGCTCAAGCTACGCAATGCCTGTCGGTTTCCAACAAATTTCAACAATCATTTACTGAGATGTCACAGATATTGATATAATGTACTCGTGCTCGAGCGGGGACGTTATATTCATACGCGTGTGAGAACAAACTAATCGGTAGGTAGCCCATGAACAAGCAGGCTTGTTGCGTACCTGTGGCTCCAGATCAGATAACTTGAATAGGACTGACAGAGCCAGTCCCAGGAGCCCCAGGCTCAGGAGGGTCACCATCACGAGACCGAGAATTCTGCAGTAGTTGCACATCTTGAGTGTTGACGGGCGGAGCGCTGGTCCGAAAATGACGCTCAGGTGCGCCTCCCAGCCGCTCACACCCCGATTGAAACATGTGCGCGGAAGCGCGCCTCGACCAATTTTTTGGACGAGTTCCGGCCGGGCGATAACTTTTGACAGAAATTAGTAATTTAATGATGGGACAGAAATTGAAACAGAAATTGAAATGGAAATAAAGTTCATATGTCAACCTCATTTCCTTGATGTGGCGAAGTACTTTGCTGGCAGTTCATCTCCAGTATCCAGCAATGCTCCCACTGCTTGGGCATGTTCTTCCTCCAAATGCAGCAGCATTTATACTTCATCTACTACTTCTACTACGGCCGACCGTGTCCGGCTTTACAGCAATCACACGCAAGCACACGTGCCTTGAGGGCACCGTCACATCCGCGGGAAGGCACACCGCTCGTGGGCCGTTGTACAGCTCGCAAGAGGAAGCGAATGGGACGCGGCTGCTCCCTATCTGTTAACACTCCTTTGCCGCATTCAACACCATTCGTGACGCTTTTATGAAGTCAATTCCGAGTAGCACGTCATAGGGAAGCCCTGTATGACGCACATTTTCTGGTCGAGTTTGACAGCCCCTTTCTCAACCGTCAGCACCGTCTCGCCGATATTGGTCAGCTCTCCAGTAACTTAACGTAGCCAGTAACTTAGCGGAGTCAAATGCCGCCTCCGGCGCTCAGGCACGGCCGCACGGGCAGCCTCTGCCACGCCGCCGCGGATAACAGCGTCACTGAGGACCCAGAGTCGGAAATGTATTCGGAAATGTATTCAACAACAACATCTTCCAGAATGAAGTGGAGTCTGGCTTCAAAATGTAGTGTTATGGAATCCGAACTGATATCTGTTGTATACAATGGCCAGGTGGAACGTAGACTGTATTTTACCAAAAATGGCGGAGTCACGTGAGGTCATGTAAAAAGCACTAAACTACTGCCATAGCGAACACTACACCCGCCGGCCCTTTAAGTTACACTTCTCGCCGATCACGTAAATCGGCGCGGCAAGAATCGGCGGCAAAAAATATGAGGTCTTCGTGCGGTGCACACCCGCATACACGCTGACAAAGACTGAGACATCTGCTCATCCCCTGCTCCGTGACCGCGCGGGATTCGCCAAGTTGGCGAGCGCTTAAGTTGGCGCTCTCCGTTCGGGCCCGTTTTTGCGGTCGCTTATGACGACCGATAAATGCGTTTATGAGCCGCTGTACATAAACTGTCATTCAACAACAACATCTTCCAGAATGCAGTGGAGTCTGGCTTGTAGGGTTCTCAGAGATCGGACGAACGGCAGACGGACGTCACCGATTAGAACTGAATTGGGATCGGTGGAATGTTGTCATGCCGTACTTGAACACACATCACTTAGGGACGCTCTGGTTTCATAAAATAGTATAAATAGCATGCAGTATCAAGGCAAAATATCAGTGGGCATTGGGCAAACATATTTTATATGAAGCGGACGGTTAATTTTAAGAGTTTTTCACCCACGCGGACAATCAGCATGTTTGTCTAGACCTTGCAGTACTCGATCAGTCGGTCAACCCTTCCGCGCCCCAGACGGTCACACCGAGGCACTTTATGAATTGAGAATCACTCCTCTGCGACTGAATGTGCCGCACGAAATTAGTTTGTATGTGGGCTCCTTGGGAAAGGTTTCTGTTGGATTTACAGGGTGTCCCAGAATTACCCAGACTCTTTTCTTAGCCGTCTAACTCCAAGAAAAACAACACTTGTTTTCATAGGCGGCGGAACGATTTGAGACAAGGGGGGGCACCATGGCTCAAGGAGCCAAACCTAGGGTACCCCCAAATCCTGTTTTCTCATCGGATTTAGGCCACTTATTTTTCGTCACAGCCCTGACACGATGATTTTTTTTTTTTTTTTTACTAAACGAAAATTGCAGTTCACCCCCGTATGCAGGGGTGTACCTAATTTTATATCTCTTTGTGGGGGCATATGCACCCACAATCCTGAATTATGCCCCCACAATGATGAAAAAGCACCCACAAGTCTTTTACAAGGCTGCAAGCGTCCTTTCGAGAGCACGGTGCCCTTCGCATGCTCTAACGGCGTCCTCCTAACCGTCTCGCGTTCATGTACCGGGGTTACATGAGCAAGTAAATGCGTATCAGGAACGGATTTTCCTATTCGCTCACCATTGTAGTCCGTTTGTAATGCGTATTAACTCTGCTCATGTAACCCCGAGCATGGATAGCGTTTTTAATCATCACTCGGCGCCCTTCTGGGAGAATGGCGCACTTTTGACAGCACCGCGCCATTCTCATGGTCTAACGGCGCCCTCCTGACCGTCTCGCGTCCTTAGGTCTCTGTTCACCGTGCATCCCTCGACTATTCGGCGCCCTTCTGGCCTCTCAGCGCCCCTGAACCACATATAGCGTTTTCAATCACTCGGCACCCTTTTACGAGAATGGCGCCCTTTTCATGATCTCAAGGCGCCCTCGTAACCATCTGGCGCCCCCACGTCCCCACCAACGTAGCACTACTGACTGTGCGGCGCCCTTCTGGCCTCTTAGCGCCCCTAGACCACATAGCGTTTTCAATCACTCGGCGCCCTCCTAAGAGAATGGCGCCCTTTTCATCGTCTCACGGCGCCCTCGTAAGTCGTAACCGTCTGGCGCCTCCACATTTGGTGCCCCTCCTACTGGATGGCGCCTCTCTACATATTTTTTACGTCCTTCCGGTCAGTTTCCACTTTTAAGCGTGTATTTGCTTAGTCAGACACGTCACTTGAAGCGCCATTCGGCTAGCAATGTTATCAAATTCGGTGTTAATTTAGGCTCCCACATAAAGAATATCTATCGCGCCCCAAAACGGCCTGGCGCCGGGCGCCCCTACAGCTGGGCACCCACAATCATTTTAGGAAAATTACACCCCTGCCCGTATGTGTGGTTAACTTTAAGCTGATCCTCAAGTACCTATGTGTTTGTCTCTTCCTTATTGTCGTTTGATAAATTCCATTTATCCTACATGTATAATTCCCAAGAAGCCATCGCAGTACTAATCAGTGGCGAATCCCAGGGTGGAGGTCACATGTGTCATGACTTAGGGCCTGGGGTCACCACATGCCTGCCAGGAGCACCACAGGCCTGACAGCCGACAGGGGCACCACAGGCCCGCCAGGGGTGCCAAAGGCCTAGCAGGGGCACCACGGGCCTGTCAGTGGCACCACAGGCCTGTCAGGAGCACCATCGGCCTAGCAAAAGCACTACAGGTCTTCCAGGGGCACCACAGACCTGCCAGGGGCACCAGAGGCCTGTCAGGGACACTATCGGCTTCGCAGGGGAACCACCGGCTTCTCAAGGGCACCATGGGCCTGTCAAGGGCACCACAAGCCTGTCGTTGGCAATTTAGGATTGTCAGAGGCACCACAAACCTGTCAAGGGCACCTACGTTCTAACAGGGGCACCACAAACCTGCCAAGGCCCAGGGACACCACATGCCTAGCAAGGACACCACAGGCCTGTCAGGGGCACCACGGGCCTGTCAGGGCCCATGGGCACCTAAGTCATGTCAGGGCCCACCGTAGGCTTGTCAGGGGGCAGGGTAGGTAGGTACCACAGTCTTTCCAGGGGCACCAGCGGCTTAGCAGGGGCACCAGTCATCACATGACTAACCAAAAATAAAGCAAAAAAAAAAAAAACTGAAAATAGGGCACCACCAAAATTAAGTGGGCGAAATCCGTTGAGGTTTTAATTTTGGGCATAGGTACTAGGTAGGGGCACCACTTCGATTCATGAACCTCCCCTTTCCCGAATTTCCCGAGTTTTCCCGAATCCGCCCCTGGTACTAATACATCAAATTTAAGGGGGGGCACCTTGCTATTGGTGCCCCCCTTGCAGAATCCAAGGGGGGGCACGGTGCCCCGGTGCCCCCCCCCGTTCCGCCGCCTATGCTTGTTTTTTGTTTTTATTTGCCAACATAACCACCTTTAGCAGCAATGCAGAGACGCATTCGGTTTGGCATTCCGGCGACTAGGTTCGCCAGCACAGATGGACGAATGCTGGCCCATAAGTAGACGCTGTTCACTCTCGAGCACCACGGCGCACCACGGCCTCCTGCCACGGCAGTCGCCCCTGCTCGCTCACAAAGTACTCGGCGAGCTTGTCGCGGGCACTGGCAGCAGCGCGCGTGTAGGTGTTGGCGGCCAGACGGCCCGCGTCTCTCAGGCCCATGGCCTCACCGTGCGCTCGCCAAGGTCCAGGCACCACGTTCCCATCGCGGTCATCGTGGTCCACGTCGTTGACCTCGATATATCGGCGGTCGTTCGACACGCCGTCCCTGCGCCGAAGGAAATTGTGAAGGACACAACTGGCGCGCACGATGTCGTCAACGGTGGAGGTTTTGGCGATGATTGGCTGCCTAAAAATCCTCCACTTTGTTACTAAAATGCCAAAAGCATTTTCCACTACACGTCGAGCTCTGCTTAGTCTGTAATTATACACTTTGCGACGCGTCTGCTGTGCATCATCCCCCTCATCAAGGGCCCTCCCGGGGTACGGCCGCATGATGGTCTCCCGCAGCGGGAAGGCCTCATCACCTACAAAACAGTTAGGCAAATCCCCTTCTGGCGCAACCGGCAGGTTCAGCTCACTCCTAGCCAGCCTTTGGCCGAAGCCGCAACGGTTGAACACGGTGCTATCGTGCTCCCTGCCGAAGGCGCCGACGTGGACATACTTGAAGCGGTAGTCGGCGTCGGCCACCGCCATCAGCAGCACGCTGCAACCTCCCTTATAGTTGTAGAAGGCTGAGCCCGACAGGCCCGGCTTCTGAATGGCGATGTGCTTGCCGTCAATGGCTCCTGCAGAAATTAAATGGAAACTGGTAAAATATTTATTCCAATGGTACTACAACTGATAAGGAAATGTGCATTTTGACAATAGGTGGCAGATTAATTAAGACAAACGATTGGTTAGGAAATAGGAGCTGAAAGAATGCAAAATAGTTGGTTCATTGAGAGGCTTCTATGAGCCATGTTTTCCACCATAATTTCATGCTTGAAGACCGTCAATCTAATGGCCATCTCGATTTCCGTGATTGGTTGTCTAGGATCAGTGCACATGTCTGCTTTTGGTGTAGCCTGGCTCACATTATAGTGTGGCGAAATAAAAATTATTGCATAAGCCATATGTCAACTGGCTGTTTTTTTTTAATTTTGCTAAATTCAATTATTTGCAATAACACATCACACTAACCTAGACATGACACTAACCTAGACAATGAGGGAAGTTCCACCTCCGTTCGAACTCGGCAGCATCTTCCAGCCAGCTTTCTTCAGTCAGAGGAGGCAGCTCGATGGGCCCAATGATGTTCCAGATGGCCTGGCAGACTTCTGGTATAGCCTTGGACACTGTAGCTCGACCCAGCCTGAAGAAGCGAGCTACATCTTTCTGGGACATGCCAGAAGCTAGGTACCTGTGCAAGATTATCAAAGTTAGCCTCATCATTCAATTACTTTTCAAACAAGTTACAATCAGTTTACGTGAGGATATGCTGGAGTACCTAAACAGTTGGGAATAGTAATAAACGGCCCTTTGCAAAGTGAAAATGGCAGTCAAATTTCCAAGGCAGTTTATACCAGCTTTATCTATATTTTAATCTGTCAGCATTAGCAGCATATTAATCATCACATTAGCAGACAAACATGATTGTAGCTATGTAAGTGCATTTCGGCTTGCTTGACAATTTAGGCATTTGAATGTGTTGGAAACTGAATCAACCTGAAAACTGACCATCCAGAAGTAGGGATCTGCAATTTATTTGCATCTATTTTTATATGGAGTCTGCACTATATTCTTTGTTTCTCGTAACCCTTTTCTAAATCTTACAAAATTACAATTATGATCACCTTATGGTAAGGGCTAGCTTCTCCGCTGGGGTGATGGCCAATCGAAAGTTGGTGTCCTGACGTCGCAGGGCAGGCTCCAGCTGTACAGTCAACTCATCGAAGGCCTCCGGTGACATGCGATATGCGTTATGAAAAGCACTTCCATTTTCACGCTCCTGGGCCATCAAAGCTCGAAACTCGCCCATCTCCTGCCTGCGCAACACAGGTTGACGCACCCACATTCTGCGGCGACGTTCTGGCTCCTGTTCTTCTTGCAATAATAATGCCAGCAACAACTCTTCCTCTTCGTCTTGTTCGATATTCATATCAATTCCTCGTCCTTCTATCTTTGAAAAAAAAAAACGCAACCTCACAATGAAACGATCCAATCTACATCAACATAGCTCTTCCTATGAAGTATCAACACTGGCAGATGTAAATATTAACTGCGCATAGAGTGAACTATGCGCACCGTTTCTGTCTCGGCAGCTGCTACCATATGACCCGTTTCATGGCTGCCATATTCAACTTCCCATGAAGGTGTGAAAACGGCCTCGAAAACGGCGGGGGACGGCGACGGGCCCGTTTTGACGGGTGACGGGCCCGGTGGGAACCGGGCTTTAAATGGTCTTTCTGCGTTCAGCTCCTTAAGACGCACCGAACGATACGCATGCTGACATTTAGTTTAAGTAACCTGAAGTCATCAAGCTTTGATTTCGAGGGCAATTAATGCGGAGTGACGAGTTTATTTCGGCGGTGCCGGTGTCATTGGCTTCGGTCCAACTTGGCTACTTAAAAAATTAACAATAAACGTGCTTAGTGAATTTAGAGGTGGCAAAATGTGGACCCGGGGACCCGGTCTATGGAACCGGTCTGGACCCGGATGGGTCCAGACCGGGTCCCCCAAAATATTTGGCCGGGTCCAACCGGGTCCTATCATTTCCCTGTGCTTTATGGTAAACATTAATATCTTTTATGCTTTGGCAAACATAGTCACAGTTGATGCAGTTTCCAGTTCATAAGTCCCAATTCCACTTTTGAATTTTAATATTCCAGCAGATTGGGCTACCTATTCTATAGCATACTGATACTGGTCAGTCTTGCTTCAATTTCTTATCTTGTCACCTACAACAGAATAAACAAGTTCTAAGTGCTAGCAATCCAGAAAACACTTTTCACCAAAATCCAAATGTTTGTACGGATCACTTCCATTCAGTTTGCTGTACAGCACCTAGCAATATTTTGAGCTGTAGAAATCAAATACCAATAACATATGTAGGTAAGTAGGTATGACTGAAATCCATTTATAAATGGACACAAATCCAATTGAAGCAAGGCTGACCAGTGGCATTCTCACCTGCCTTTTCAAAGACATTGACATACCAAAGTCACTATGCCCACCGGAAATCAGAGTTCATGTTTGATATTCAAATGCATTTCATAACTCAAACAGCTTTGAAATTATTTCTATCACGGCCAGAAGACAACTCATAAAACCAACATGCCCTTGCATAAATCCATAAAGCTAAAAATGAATCCAAGGCATTCTCCAGAAACCGTAGTATTGATCAGATTTTAGCCAACTGGCGCCGCATGGTGGCGCTAGCAGAGCGTATTATACATATAGCGCTCTACTAGCGCCATCATACGGCAGCAGCTGACAAAAAACTGAGTCAATACCAATGCCCTTCTCCAAGGCCAGTGATTCCGTGTTGATGTGAAAATGGCGCATTTGAGCGTCATATATGCTATACCTTACGCACGCTAATCTACTGCATAAAGGTTACAATTTTGGAACACGTTCGGGAAGAAAGTCTCAGAACCCTTGGTATTACTATTTATTCTATGTCTAGGTACTAACAACAAAATGTAGTTTGTTTTCTACGTTAATAAATTGGCACTTAAGTCATGATCGCAACCTCAGCTTGCAGTACTGCCATTACGATCTTGCAGTACTTTAACCCCAACAAAATTTTGCAGTGATTTAACGCCTGTTTTGTCATTGCATTTCTATCGTGTCGACATTTCTGGCGAACCTCACACAGTTTTCATGTTTCTATTTTGCAGGTCTTGTTTCCTTCCCGAAATTATAAATCAGGCTCATGAGATACTCAACATTGGCCAAATAAACGTTGCCTCTAAACCGCCTATGCTTCCCTTCTGGCTCCTGCGAGATATTTCTATTGAATATCTTTTTAACGATTCAAAATCTAACATTTCGCCAATGGATGCCCAACTGCTGTTCCATGAATATGTACAGAGAAACCTAGACTCCACATTCTTCTACACTGACGGCTCATGTCTTTCAAATCAAACGGGCGCGGCAGCCGTGGGCCCGAACATTAGATACAAAATACGCCTGCAAGACCATGCCACTATTTTTTCAGCAGAAGTTCACGCTATTCAAACGGTAGTCCGTCATATACAAACACTTCACATTGAACAGGCAATAATCTGCACCGATTCCAAATCTGCCCTTCAGGCTCTAGAAAGAACTGATAACGTCACCCACTACTGCATCCAAAATATCCACAAAATGCTACTAGAACTAGACGAAAGTCAGCATATAACTTTTCTTTGGGTGCCAAGTCATTGTGGCATCGCAGGGAATGAGCTAGCAGACACCCTTGCTAAGGAAGGAGCAATGAGAGCAGACCCTAGTGGGGTGCCTCTCTCGATCGGGGACGTCTGCCACAAGTTCCGAACAAAATTTAATACTTACCTACAAAACAAATGGAATCAAACTCACTCTCCTCATTTATATGCGATCAAGCAAAATCTTACATCCTGGACAACTTGTAACCAGCCAAATAGGATTCGCGAGGTTACACTGGCAAGGCTACGATGCGGACATACTCGTTTCACCCACTGTCATCTTTTCGAAAGGACGGACCCACCAATATGCCAAACATGCAACACACGCATTACGGTTGAACACATTCTAATCGGATGCACAGCCCTCCGCAACGAACGAAAACATATCAACAACCACCTTACAAAATATCGCCTCAGAAACGATCTTCCGACTCTTCTCGGAGATGACCCAGCACTAACTGATCTAGTACTTGATTTTGTCTTAAACTCACCTTATTCCGACAAACTGTAAAGTATGCACCATTACTTGACCTCCTTCTCGCTATCATCGCAAGGGACTGTCCACATACTCTGGGACTGTCCCTTCACCCACTGCACAACGACGAGCAGCGGCCAAGGACTCATCAGTCACGGACCCGGCCGCTGAACAGCGGCAGCGGCCGGGTTTGGGCGACCACAGGCCCGGGTACAGCAATCGGCCTTCAACAGCGGCAGCGACATATCCCCCACTCTTCAAACCTCAAACCATTCCTATCATCCAACTTTATCGTAACATCGTAACCCTACCATTCACAAACTTCCTCCTTCCCTCCCCTCACAAACATCAATTTAACGGTAAGTCTCACTGTCATTTATGTGTCTTAACGTAAATTCATGGGTTTTTCCCCATATTCATGGCATAGTACATGGATATGGGTTTTCCCATGTTGTGTTGCAGTAAAAGTGGCCACCGGTCTTAGTTAGGACGGCCGGTTTTCTTTTGCGCGGCGTAGTTAGGTCGCCGCCCTCCTCGCGAGGCCGGTAACGTAAGTTAGGGCCACTAAAAAAAAAAGATTTTGAATGTTTTATCGTTTGGGGCCTTTGATAGTTGATAATATTTGTAAGGACTAATGAATTTAATTCTAAAAACGAATATCTTTTACCAAGAATATTAGAAAAGGTATGTATCAGTATGGTTATCTTGTTCCATGTTGATGTTAGGTTCTTGTTCTGACTCTGGTGAAGGCACTGGTCCATGGATCCCCAGTTCACATCATTTTTAGCAGCTGTAGTAAAAGTGGCTTAGGTTAGCATGAAATTCATTGGTCTACTTACTTCTTATATTCTTAAATATGACCTGAATCTGGTTCCAAAATACAAACTGTGAAGCAAAGTGAAATGACCATGGCATGAGTTTTTTACTTTGCAACACAAGTATGCCCAATTGGAAAGAAACTATTTTCTTTTGCTATACCTACAACTGTACACAATTTTCATAATGAATTTCGGGAACGGGTCCATCTGGTTCCAACGCTGACTTAGACCGGGTCTGACCGGTTCCAGAAATGTGCCAGTCAGACCGGGTCCGGGTCCGGGTCCCAAAATTTTCCAGTTTTGCCACCTCTATTAGTGATCATAGCTAAACATTTTATTCAGTGAATAATATAATAACGGTATACAAAACAGCGACTTCCCGAATAGTGCACCGCTTGCATGGCACTGTAGCGAGGGGATTTAGAAAAGAAGAAGAAAGAGAGGATAAGAACTGCTTCCTTGCGGGTAATCAAACGCCTTCTTTGCGGTTGATCCAGCACCGCGGTCCACTGTCGTTCAGCTGGTTGTAGAGGAACAGAGCTATTTGCTGCTGGAATGAACTCGATAGTTGAACTGGTAGAACAGGGGAGCTTGAGAGTCTTGGAAAAGATCCCGAGATAGATCTAGAGAGAGATCCAGATAGTGATGAGATCCTGAGATAGATGTAGATATAGATCCACCTGATAGAGATCTTGAGATGGTGTTGAGATCCACCTGAGGGAGATGTCTAGAGATCCACCTTGCATACAAATACATCTGATGGAAGATGCTTTTTAATTTAGAGGCTTGATGATTCTGTTCATTGTATAGACCATGATGCACGAGATGCTTCTTCACTGCTCGGATTAGGGATAGAGGTATCCGATCAGCTGGGTTTGCGGCACAGTTGGGCAGGTGAAGGACAGGGCATTCGAAGTCCCGATGACCACTGCCAAACATATGGGTGGTAATTACATTGATAAATTGAATGTGATCATTCGTCCAGTCACCCATTCCTATATCACTGGCCTTCCCATTAAGAAAATTGCCCACTTAATTCGTATTAGCGTTGCTAGTTTTAAGTTGCCCTCGAGATTAATTAGTTTGACTGTCCTAACTGAGCTTCGCTAAACTCCCATCGGCCTTATCCTAAGATTCATCCTTTACCATTCTCACTCTCATCCTCTCTCTACGTTCGTTCGTCATATATTCACCCCAAATTTATTTAGCGCCCCTCGAATTCCCTCCGATGGCGTTAGGTGCCTGACTAATAGCGATCTCCCCGGCGAGATAAATGTCTCTTTCCGAAATCCATATGCATGCTCCGCTAACCGGCGACAAAGATACTTACCGCAGGGCCGTCCAGAATAATTGCATAAATATCCACCCTACTAATTTATGGGATTCACTACACGACCGATAGACTTATGGTACACACATACACGATTTATATCCGACTTATCTCTCTACCGGGAGAGATTACCTATGCCCTCTTCCGGTCCGCGTGTAACATTCCCGTTCACGACCCAGGGACCCTAGTTCATATCCTGGAACTATCCTTAACCATGGGATTTACTATTCAAGGCCTTACGTGTCCTGGAGTACATTCTTCCCTCCCCTGAGGCTGTCCAGTACCGATTAGAGTACCTTTACGAAATAAGTATGAGGACTTATCCGGGACACTACGGCTCGCCTTATCCGCCCTTTGGGTGACTCACCCCTGACCTTCGGCTTCTTGCCTTTGGCATAACTT